TAATAAAAATCTTAGCCAGTTTTATTCGTTTTTCAAAAAACCTACCACCTAAACTGAAAAGATTGTTGCAAAAATGTTTCATAAGAGACTCAATAAAACGATCATTATGTGAAACAGTTCTGAAGGAATTTACTGTTTCACAGGTTTTTTTGTACTTTAAACTTTCAGTTTTTTATTGCCTTGCTTGAGAGGCAACCCTCTCAACATTAAGGTTTGTAAACAGTAATTTCTTACATCATCACTCATAGAGGTAGTACTTGTTGTATTTCATTACTGTAATTTTTAGTGTGAGACAGCAGTTGACAACATTAAATGGAAGGTTTTAGTCGGCAATTGGAACAGTAATGCCAAAGAAGATACGGCATCTTTTTTAAAAAACAGATGAATTTGGTAAAATTTAATAACAGTGATGCTCGTTTCTCTTCTGCTTCTTCTTACTTTAGCAACTTCTATTCTTAAGTTTCTGTAACATTTTTTTGCGCAATTAGTGGTTTTTTACAACGCTCTATTGAAGATCTGAAAGTGGACAGTGAGATAAGCAATCAGTGTGTAATGGAAGAACGTACACGAATGATTGGTGGTGTTTAGAAGGAAATTAACTAACTGATGGCTCGGTAAACTGGAGAAACTGAGACGGCACCATGTTTCTGTTTTATTATTTATGTAGAAAGAAATTTCTTTACATCACACAACTGTTATTTATCACGGGCATTTTTATATCTGTTTTTGTTAAACGTGGTATTTGATTTTTCTGATTTTGCTTATGCAACAATCTTTAGTTTCTCTGATTTGTTCTGTGAGAGTATAACTCTGGGAATGAGTGTCTTATGGAAAGTTGTGAATGTTAAAATGCATTCTGTGGATGCTTTGCTTTATTACGTCTTGAAGTGCTTTCACTAAGATCGTTAACGTCTACTTGGCCAGTTTGCTGCACAGTAGAGTACAGCAACGCATAGGTCACATAGTTAGAGCTCTAGAAAATATGACCAGTAACGTTTATTAATAAAACAAGCCTTACAATAGAAAGATTCAATTGTTTCATTATCTTCTACCTCATTTTATATTTGTTCGTCTGGTACAGTGTGGAAACTTTTTTGACACAAACCTGAATTCCTTAGAATATACCAACATACATTTACCACATTGTTCTCGTTTGCAAGCAGCTGCGTGACTATAAAACAAGGTTTCTGTGCATAAAATGCTGCTTTTAGTAATCAGTTCAGTATCCGTCAAACTTGCCGTTTAGTCTGAAGAAGGAAGAAACGACTAAACTGCTAATGTTTTTTTTGTGCCTTCTGAAAAGTTTATTTTATTACTGTCTATTTCAAGAGAAGTTTGAAGAGGGTAAGCAGATGATGGATTTAAGCTTACTAATAGTTGTCAAATTTTAGTTTTCAAAAACAAACGAATAAGCAAAAACAATAAATATATATAATAACATAACAATTAGTAAAATAATGCTACTGAAAACTGAAAAATTCAATTCTTAAAAAAAATCTTATTACCATAGACGCATTAAATTTTTTACCCACTTTTTAGCCGACAGAATAATTGCAATTTACAAAAACTATACGTGTCAAAGAATTACTTGAGCAACTTTTTTGCAGGTAAAACCACTACATAAAAACATTCTTGAAGTTTTAGAAGGCAAAGAAGACATTTGTTAAACAATCAAAGTTTCAAATTTATTGGAATTTAATAGCCATTTTATTACTTAGCTGTATTTTATTGGCAAGAAACGTGCTGCGTGATCGGTTTTCACAGTTTAACGGCTTATTTACATCTTATAACATTATACCTCGTATTTATACACTTGAAAAGCATCAAATACGTCTTATTGCGCAGTCATATCAAATTTGTCAAATAAGTGTCACAGAATGCTGGAAATTTTTTGAACCGTCTGATCACAACTTTTATCGCCTGCATTGTTCGTACTGCTTGCAAAATTTGTTAATGTATTTTAAGAAAATGAATAATTGGTTCTTTTCAAAACAGCAGAGAAGAAATTCGAAGCGTTATAGGATATGCATAAAAGGAAAAATTGGCTTTTTTTGCAAAAAAAAAAACGAATAAACCAGAATCATGTTCCAGAGCTTCTGCCGCAATCAGAAGTTGACGGAATATTGTGCAACAAAAATTGCTCTACTAATCGCTTTATTAATTAGGACTGGATGAGGACTGTTGGACTGGAATATAAAATTTTACCTGATAAGGTTTTAACGATGAAAAAAGGCGCTGTAAAGACCGCGAGAGCATCAAAAATAAAATAATTTTTTTCTTTCTAAAAAATATGAAGAAGGAAGAAGAAGGAAGGGAAGGACAAACCTATTGTGAAATAAATGATTTAAAGTACGCAGTCGATAAACAGTGCTATGTATTGTCGTCGATTTGGAACAGAAAAAAAACCTTTATTTTGTAACGTTTATAAAGTTTTTTACCAAAAAAAATTTTTGAATAATTACTGGAAATTTCAGATTATATTTGCAAAATTTTGCAAAGAAATTATACACATAGAATTGGAGTTTTGCATTAAGAAACATCAGCAAATTACAGATCTGATGTTTGATTATTTTAATCATTTTGGAGTATGTCTTTCAATGATAAGCACCAACAAACTGTTAAATAATTTATAAAACTTCAAGTTTGCAATAAAAATCGTAGAAAAAAAAAAAAAGAAGTGAGAACGGGAAGAAAAATAAAATTACTCAAACACTGGTCAAATAATTTAAGAAAAATCCTTGAAAAATTTTTGCTGAATTGTCTGTTAAGGCCAGAAAGCTGAAATGAGATGAAAACTGGTTTTCTATCGACAAATGCTTAGTGTTCTAAAAAGATATGAGGAAGTTACTTTGAACCTACTATTCAAATTTCATGAAAAAAAAAAAACTTTTTTTTGTTAAAAAAGATAGAGGAAAACCAAAAATTTTCTTACAAAACAGCACTGAACTGACCATAAACAATAATTTAAAAAGTTCAATAGAAAAAAGCTGGTGACATAAGGGTAATTGCTTCTTTTTTTTTCTTAAAGTTTGGATTTATATTTGTAACAAGAATTTTTCCTCGTATTAACAAAAAGAAATTGTCGGCAAGTGTTAATGATTCTAAAGTTTAAAAAAATGCATATTTGGAATGAGAACAATCAAAAGGGCGTGGTATCACTTTTGTTAATAGTGATATCCTAAGACAAAAAAAAAAACGAGACAACAAAAAAATGAAGTAAAAAAAAAGTACCAAAAGTTAACCTTATTATTTTAAACTCTTATTTTTTCTGCTTTGATCTGTAATAAGTATGGCTTAAATATTTTGAACAAAATTTCCATAAACCCGATTATTTTAAGTTTATTTTTACAGTGTACAGCCGTAACCCACTATGCCGAGCAGAATATTTACAGAATATGTAAAAATATACTTATATAACTGCCATAATTTGAATTTGAGCCAATATTTTCATGGCAACCAGCCAACAGGATAACCGTACCCTATATTTTCTTTAGAGAAAACTCGACGCTAAATTAGAAATGGACAAGCTGGATACTTTTTGACTTCTTACCAAAGCGCCTGGTGCCCAACGTAGTTTTCTCTAGTAAGCTGAACGCTCTCTATGTTGGTGGGATTTCATAACTTCTAAAATTTGCTGTCTTTGAAGCTTAAATGCGGGCTCCGGTGCTGAACAGACGTGATGACACTGGGGTGAATTTTGCTATCGTCAGTGTGGGAGTAATGCTACTCTGGGCAAAAACTTTGTCGACCCTGGCAGGACTCGAACCTGCAGTCTTCGCTTTAGGAGAGCGA